GAAGGAAGGAAGGAAGGAAGGAAGGAAGGAAGGAAGGAGGAAGGAGGAAGGAGGGAGGGAGGGAGGGAGGGAAGGAGAGAGAGAAAGAGAGAAAGAGAAAGAGAGACAGAGGGAGGGACAGAGGGCGAGAGGGAGGGAGGGGAACCGTTTGTGTCCCTCCTCATGTTTCTCAGATCATTTCCTACTGTGTGGTTTGTCTATCTCTAGGACCAGCAGACACCAAGCAATGCTTCTTAAATTTAATAGTCAAAACATTCTTTTTCCTTTCTTTACGTGCACAACATTTCAAGGGATCATTAAAAGGGACAGTGGAATTCCTCTGAAGGCTGCTTGGGGAATGCTGAACTGGAAATAACAGGTTAGAGAGAAGAACTATGACCCAGGTAAAAGGTGATAGGTTGTGAGGAAACAGAAATATATTTGTAAATAAGATTAATGCCAAGCTTGGCTCTCTAGAATCCTAAACACAGGAGCTAGAAGTCCTTAAACATTTCACTGGCCTTAAAGACATCCATAAATTGTTAAAAAATGGCGTATAAAAAATAGGTAATTCTGAGGCCCCAGAAATGGGTGACCTGATGACCCAATGAAATGGAAGCCTTTCCTCCATCCCTCAGATCCTCTCCACCCTGCAGGGTAACGCTGAGGGCACATGATGGTTTCAATAAGTGTCCCCCATGATCTCCAAGTATTTGGACATTTTGTCCCCAGTTGGTAGCACTGTTTGGGGAGGTTTCAGGAGGAAGTATGACCTTGATGGAGGAAGCCGTCACTAGGAGTGGGCTTTAAGAGTTGCTAAGCCTTGCCGGATTTCCAGTCACTCTCTGCTTCCTGTGCCTGCTTGGAGATGTGAGCATGCTGCTTCAGCTCTGGCCTCCCCTGCCAAAGAAACTCTTCCTTCTATAAATTCCGTCCAGTCACTCTCTGCTTCCTGTGCCTGCTTGGAGATGTGAGCATGCTGCTTTCAGCTCTGGCCGCCTCTGCCAACATGCCTCCCCTGCCAAAGAAACTCTTCCTTCTATAAATTCCTGTGGTCATGGTGTTTTATCACAGCCACAGAAAAGTCACTAATACAGGGCACCTGTTTCAGCTGGCTTCTTTGTGCCCTGGCTTGGGTTGAGTTGGCTTGGGTTGGCTTGGCTTAGGTTGGGTTGGTTTGGCTTGGCTTGATTTGGCTTGGGTAGGTTGGGTTGGTTTGGGTTGGCTGGGCTTGAGTTTTGGCTTGGCTTAGGTGGGGTTGGCTTGGCTTGGCTTAGGTTTGGCCAATGGACAGAATCAATAAAGAGATCAGAGAAAGAGGGGAGATGGGAGGTCTTGGTGTTTATGCTCACAACTCCTCTCCCGTGGGGCTGCAGTGGGCTGGATACGACCCTCTGCTGTAAGCCCCACTCCCGTAATTTGGCCCTCTCCAGAAGTTATCCTATTGTCTGTAGCTCCAATAATCAGTCCCTTCCCTTCACTGCCCCTTGGGACTCCTTATAGTCTGTCTACAGATTTTGAAATGATGCTCTCAGCAAACTCCCCTCAAAGTACCCGATTTGAGCAGGTCTGTGCCATGATGGAAATAAACCCTAAGCCCAGCCGATGGGTAACACTAGCTTAGATTTTCCTAACGTTGGGCATCAAGAGCAACCCAGGGAACAGGTGGGGCATATTCCATTGCTACAAGGCAGACACAGGGAGACTGAGACTGTAGGTGACCTTCAGGTAGTCACAGGTTGACAAGCAACACAGAAGGAACGGATGCCAAGCAGCCAAGCAAGGACAGCTAGATCGAGATTCACCAAAAAGCAAAAGTTCCAGAATTTCTATGCTTAAACCAGCAAGTCGCTAATCAACAATAGCAACATATTATTTCTTAATTTTTAAAATATTTTATTATTTGTATGTTATGTGTATGAGTATTTTGCCAGCGTGCATGGAAGTGGATCCATGTCATGCAGTGCCTGAAAAGGCATCAGATCCCCTGGAACTGGAGTTACAGATAGTCGTTAGCTGCCATGGGGGTGCTGGGAACCACCCCAGGTCCTTTGCAAGAGCAGCCAGTGCTCTTAATTGCTGAATGATGTCTCAAGCCCTGCAATATATTTCTTAAAGACTTACTTTAAATTATGGGTATGTGCATTTGTCTGTGGGTGGTTATGTGTATGTGAGTGCAGGTATCTGTGGAGGCCAGAAGACAGCATCATATGCCCTGGAGATGGAGTTCCAGGCAGTTGTGAATTGCCCATTGTGGATTCTGGGAACCAAACTCAAGTCCTCTGTAAGAGCAGCACACACTTTTCACCACTAAGCCATCTCTCCAACCCATGGAAAATACATACTTTTAAAGTCATAGCCATTCCTGTTAACCAAGTAAGTGTGACATCATTGCTTTGCAAACCCTCATCTTACCTCCTTTGCAGATGCCAGGGTAGAAGGCATCAGGAAACACAGTCCCAGCCTGATACGCATCCTGGTGTTCCAACAGCAGCTGAGGGACAGGAGAGGCAGAGTTAGTCAGCAGCTAGGAAAGGCTGCCCCATCCATGTCTAGCTGTGATGTGAGATGCTAGAACTGCAGATGGGGGAGGGGTGAACACGGGAGGGATGAAGGGTGGAAAAAGGCAGGCAGAGGTAAACACATGCTAAAAATTCATGGGAGTCCCTCAAAACATGACCGGTTCCACACACTTCAGTCTTCCCTACCTCCCAGACCAGCTAAACAGTAACAAGAATCACCTATTAAATTTTATCTTCTCTCACCTTTTTTTTTTTGTCTTTCTGAGACAGGGTTTCCCCGTAGCCCCAGCTGTCCTGGAACTCACTATGTAGACCAGGCTGGCCTTGAACTCACAGAGATCCACCTGCCTCCCAAGTGCTGGGATTAAAGGCGTGCACCACCATGCCCAGCTTTAAAATCTTAGTTATTTATCTATATTGGTGTGTGTGTGTGTGTGTGTGTGTGTGTGTGTGTCTGTCTGTCTGTCTGTCTGTCTGTCTGTCTGTCGGTCTGTCTGTCTGTTTAGACAGGGTCCCACTATGCATGTGTGTGTGTGTCTGTCTGTCTGTCTGTCTGTCTGTCTGTCTGTCTGTTTAGACAGGGTCCCACTATGTCAGAGGACAACTTTGAGAGTCAGTTCTGTCCTTTCACCATGCAGGACCCAGGAATTAAACTCAGGTCATCAGACCTGATGGCAAGCCACTTTACCTACTAAACCATCTTGCCTCCCAAATTAGCTTTTTTTAACATCAGATCTTTTGTAGCCCAGGCTGGTCTTGAACTCACTGCATATCAGAGGACAACCTAGAACTTCTGGTCCTTCAGCCTTCTCTTCTTGAATCCTGGGATTGCAGGCATATTCCAGCACTCCTGGTTTATGTAGTGCTGGGAGTGAACCCACAACTGAGCTCCATCCTCAGCCCAACGCTGAATATTTTTTTAAACCTCCAAGATGTGGAAAGCATCCTTTCTTTCTGAGACTGTGATGGTGGATGGTAGGGGCTTTCTTTCAAATGTTCTCTGGTAGACTTGTTCACTCAATTTTTTTTTTTATTCTCTTGTGGTGTGGCTAGCTAAGACCAAAGATTAGCAAAGAGAGACTTTGCCTCTAGACTGCTTGGCATGGTCCACCTCCTCCATGGATTTCCTCCACTAACATGGAAGCCTGTAGGGTTTCTGCAGCACAGGTGCAGAGGGCCCTGGTGAAGTTCCCGCATCCCCCTATTCACAGGCAAATCATGGATGGGCTTGCTAGGAGAGCGTGCCTGAGGTGACTAGAGCCTGGAGCCAGTGGTCAAGGCATCTTTGCATTTCCAAAGCATGCAGGGTGTGGAAGCCTGTCCATCTGCAGGTGCCAAACGGGACAGTGGCTGTGTGACAGCACACAGCAACTTTTGGCATGACCATTCTGCCTGTTGTTCTTGGAGGTCTTCCAGGCACCCCCAGGGCTCTCCTCCAGTTCCCACATGGTGGGAAACCCTAGCTCTTGACCTAGAGCCCCTCTCTGCCTGAGTAGGCAATGGGCCTCCACCCCTGCAGAAGACTCTGATGGACAGACATAGGCTCAGCTGAGTTTGGCAGGACAATTTGTTTCTTTCCTTTCTTAAAAATGAATGCTATTTATTATTACTGTGTGTCATGTGTGTGAGTGTGCATATGTGTGCCACAGCACACATGCAGACGTCAGAGGACAGCTTTCAGGGGCAGGTTCTCTCCTTCCACCACGGGATCTGGGGATCAAAGTCAAGTTGGCAGCATGGAGCACCTTTTCCCACTGAGCCGTCTCACCAGAGCTGGACTTCCGTCACTTAAAAGCCATATAACCTTAGTGGCCTGTGTTCTAGGGGCCTGAGGAGCAGACAGCCAGCTGGAGCCAGCAAAATGGTAGAAAAGCTGTTGCCAAGACTGACAACCCGTGTTCAGTCTTTGCCAAGGAGAGAACTGATTCCTACAACTTGGCCTCTGACCTCCCTAGGCATGAAGGCACACATGCACACATACATGAATTAATTAGATAAGTAACTAAAAATTAAAATTGCTGAGGTTTGGCGTCCGGTGTGGTATACCTAGTCTGATCGCTGCCATTAAGGAGCATGGTGTGTGACCCTAGTGCGGGATTCACACCCAGCCCCCAGAATGTCAGGTCTAAGTTGTAGATTTTATCAACACAAATTTCCTGAGGTAGAAGATGTGGTCATGGTAAATGTAAGGTCCACTGCTGAGACGGGGGCTTTTGTCAGCTTGTTGGACAACGACAACACTGAAGGTGTGATTCTTAGTGAAGTATCCAGAAGACGTATCCGTTCTATAAACAAACTCATCTGAATTGGCAGGAATGAATGTGTTGTCATTAGAGTGGACAGAGAAAAAGGATATACTGATTTATCAAAAAGAAGAGTTTCCCCAGAGGAAGCAATCAAATGTGAAGACAAATTCACAAAACCCGAAACTGTGTGTAGCGTTCTTCGCCATGTGCTGAGGTATTAGAAAACACCAAGAACGAGCAGCTGGAAAGCCTCTCCCATAGGGCCGCCGGGTCTTTGATGACAAGTACAAAGGACCCGGAGATGGTGCCTATGAGCCTATAAGCATGCTGTCTCAGACCCATCTACTTTGGACAGTTTAGGTTTGAATGAAGATGAACGTGAAGTACTAATTAACAAGATTAATAGGCGTTTGACCCCACAAGCTGTCAAATTCGAGCAGATATTGAGGTAGCTTGCTATGGTTACGAAGGCATTGATGCTGTAAAAGAAGCCCTGAGAGCAGGTTTGAACTGTCCCACGGAGACCACGCCCATCAAGATTAATCTAATAGCTCCTCCAAGGTATGTGATGATGACAACCCTGGAGAGAACAGAAGGCCTTTCCGTCCTCCATCAGGCTATGGCTGTCATCAAAGAAAACATTGGGAGAAGAGGGGCGTGTTCAACGTTCAGATGGAGCCCAAACTGGCCATAGATACAGAAGAGACTGAACTTGCAAGACAGCTGGAAAGGCTTGGGAGAGAAAATGGAGAAGTGGATGGTGGTGGTGACGCAGACGTGGAGGGCAAAGCTGAAGATTAACTTTGTGGGAAACAGTCCAGTTTAAGGGATACGAAGCAGCGTTTCCTGGCTGTAAACCCTTAGACTTGAAAGTTTTCCAGTACTGAAAACTTCAAAGCTGAATCTTTTTTATTTCCAAGTATTTAAGTATTCAACAAACCAGAACCTGAAACGCCTCCTTGCTGTCAGCTGTGTTCACATAGTAGCTCTAACACATCACACTTTTTTTAAGGGAGTGGCTTGATTTGCCTAGAGACAAATCTTTAAGAACAGTCCTAGAATTGGGCTTGCCATGTCCATTTCTGATGTCTCTAGATCAGCACCCTTGGGTGTTCAGTGCCTCCATGAGATTTGCCAGGGGCACCCAACACAAACAATCCCAATCTTTCTATATACAATGTATTCAAACAAGCATCAAATAAATTTCTGGGATATTTTAAAAAATTAAAATTAAGTCAGTTCCTTTAAAAAGACATATTGAGCCCACATCTCTCAGTGAGGTTATTTTATTTTCTTTATATATATTTGTGTGTGTGTGTGAGTGTGTGTGTGTGTGTGTCTGTGCCTGTGTGTCGGTGTGTACTGGGCACTGATCCCAAGGCCTCAAACATGCCAGGCAAGTATTCTACCAACTGAGTTTTATCCCCAGCTGAGTTATTATTTGACATGGAAAAATAATTTGAAAACATTTTGAAAAATTAACTGTGGCCAGATGTGGTGGTGCTTCCCTTTAATCTCAGTCTCAGGAGAGGCAGACAAATCTCTGTGAAATGGAGGCCAGCTTGCTCTACATAGCAAGTTCCAGGCCAGCTGGGGCTATGGGGTAGCCTGTGTCTCAAAACAACAAGAACCAAACCTAAATGTGGAAAAGAGCAAAGTGCTGGGGGAGGGGGAGAAAATTATCAAAAGAAACTCTGCACCACGAAGTAACTAAAAGGAACGGATCTGGGACAGAGCTAAGCACAGAAGACTCCATACAAGCATGGCCTCACCTAGAACACAGACGTATGTGTACAGGATGGGTGAGCAGCAAGCGGCCTGTCCTGGCCCTATCAGGCCGCCTTCTAGCTTTACATGGGTGATACATGCACTGCTTAGTTAATACTACTGGAAACAGGCCACTGTTGCCGTTATAGGGTTTTTTGGTTTTTTTTCTCAATTTTATTTTATGTGAATGAGTGTATTGCCTGCATATGTATAAGTGCACCTGTGTCGTGCAATTCCCGAGGAGGTCAGAAGAGGACCTCCAATCCCAGGAACTGGAGTTATAGACAGTTACCAGCTGTCATGTGGGTGCTGGGAATCAAGCCCTCTGCAAGAACAGCCAGTGCTCTTAACCACTGAGCCATCTCTCCAGTTTGAGACAAGGCCTCACTCTGTAACCCAGGCTGACCTTGAACTCATGGCAATCCTCCTGCTTCAGCCTCCCAAGTACTGAGATTACAGGCATGTGCTACCATTCCTGGATTAATTGGACAAGTCAATTGAGTGCATAATCAGAGAGGGTGAATTGTTTTTCTAAGCACAATACCCAGGAGAAGCCATTCTGTTTGCCTGCATGCATGCATATGTACCACATATGTGCAGTGTCCGAGGGCCCGGAAAAGAGTGTCTGGTCCCCTGGAACTGGAGTACAGGCAGTTGTTAGCCACCATGTGGGTGCTGGGAACTGAACCTAGATCCCTTACAAGAGCAGACAATGCTCTTAACTGCTGAGTCATCTCTCCAGTCACCACGATGCTTTAACTTTACATGGAAAGTTGGAACTTCTGCATGGTAAATAGGTAAAAAAATAAGTAACCATGAAAATACTTTGGCAAATTATTAAATACTTTAATAAATAATCCTTCCTACATATCAAGAGAAAGATAATTTATTATAATAAACAATTCATAAAGGACAGTGACAGATGAAGTATTAGAGAATTATTTCTAATCTCCTGAAATATATTGAACCTCATTAAAAAGTTTAAATCTGGGGCTGGAGAGATGGCTCAGTGGTTAAGAACACTGTTCTTGCAGAAGACCCGGGTTCGAATCCCAGCACCCACATGGCAGCTAAGAACTGTCCGCAACTCCAGTTCTAGGGGATCCGACAGCCTCTTCTGTCCTCTGCGGGCATTGCACAACACGGGTGCACTTACCCTCATGCACGCAATGCACACACACATCAAATAAAAACAATAAATAAAATATTTTTTAAAAAGTTTAAATCTGCTGGGCACTTGGGAGGCAGTGGCAGGTGGAGCTCTGTGAGTTTGAGGCCAGCGTGGTCTACATAGCAAGTTCTAGACCAGCTGGGGCTACAGGGAGATCCTGTCTCAAAAACAAAAACAACAACAAAAAAACCCAAGTTAAACCTAGAACAAAAAATCTAGTTTTGTTTATTTCGTTGTTTAAGACAAGGTCTCATGTAACCCAGGCCTCAAACTCACTATACAGTCAAGGGGGATCTTAAACTTCGGATCCTTCTGCCTCAGCCTCCCAAGTGCTAGATTTACAGGTGTTTACCACCATGCCCAGACCACTTTTCTTATCTATCAAACTAGCAAAGATAAAAAAGAATAATAAAAGCTAAACCATGAAAGCAAAACTGCTATCAAATCTGAGTATTTCTCAATTTTTTTTCAAAAATACAGGAGGAATTAAGGCTCTGTACCCTGTGATATTATAATGAATGTGGGTTTTGTCCAAGTTTTCTGGCTGTATCTTCCTCTCAAAGACAGACAGTAAAAGTTAAAATTTCCCTTCTCTGATGCGGGTCTTGGAAACCCTAACTTGTCCCCACCTCTCTATCCTTGCTGTAAAGAAATTCTCCGAGCTATCTCATCTGATAGTTAT